GGAGGCATTGCTGGTCTCCTCCCATCCCTAGGGAGAAAATGGTGTGGGCTGCCCTCTGTGGTCTCTTGGGCTCTGCACCCATTACTTAAACCGTCACATGCTGTTGTCTGTGCACGTGCAAGTGATGTCCAAAATGTACACACTAAATTGCAGTGAGGAAGCCAACAATACTGACTCTTTTCTTGAAATTAAAACAGTGTCCAAAATATTAAAAAAAAAGGTTTACTTGCATAACATATGGCTAAAGAGTAATATATGCAAAGTATTTACATTCACCTGCTTATCCAAGCATGGGCTTATTTTTTCTTAGCTGAAGATTGCAGCTTCTTCCTTACACATTCAAACAAGCTGTGTCTTCGTCTCTTTCCAGTGCTTGCACTCAGCCTTTTGCACAGTGCCCAGCTAAGCCATGCAGTTCCTCCTGAGAGGTTTCCGCTTTCCCCTCCCAGCAAACTTCTCTCTACTGCTTCTTTGGGAGAACATCAACTTCTGTACTTTTCTCTGCCACATGCATTCACACAGAAGCATTGGCACCGCTCTCCTCTATTGCATTTGGACAGTTATCTAAGGCTGTCTCTTCTTCGGTACTCATGGAGATGCAGCCATTACACTCAAGTCCCCCCCCCAAACAAAACAAAACAAAATGGAGAATGTAATAAGATACCTCCCGTGTGACCAGAGTTAACCAATCACACGAGAGTTACTGGGGAACATTCCAGAATTAAACACACAGCAAAACACACATTTAAGCATTCCCAATTAAATCACTATGCTTAACAAGCTTAACTCTTTCTTACATTTTCAAATTGGATGGAAGCTGGTTTGAGGGGAAACAGCAGTGTATCTCAAGAAACTGAAGGGCACAGATAGATTGTGCTGAGCGCTACATGTAGTTTTTTGTTGTTTCGAAAAAGAAAGCGTCTTACAGCAATAAAATATGCAGACAACAAAACTGAATCCACAAAATGCATTAAGCAACTGTAGCCTTATGAGGCTTTGCCCTCGGGTGGGGAAAAATATTGCACCTGGGAAAGGGAGTGGCAGTCAAACAGACAATCAAGGAATAGAAAAAGCTTTATTTCTACCATCCATGAACTGGTAGAAGGAGCAAGTGTGATAGATTCACAAACAAGCATGGATTCACAGAGCATATATTCCCCTTCCAGTTCCCTCCCCTTTCTCCTCCTCCTCCGGAGTCCTGCCCCATGTGTTTCCTGAGCATGAGCAGAAAGCTCCTGTCTTGGGACTATTGGGACTCTTGCCAGGAAAAGGGGATGAGCGAGGAGCCTTGGGTTCAGCATGTCCAAGATGTTGCAACTGAATGAGATAAAAGTCAGTTCTCAGGCTTGCTTTGAACAGCGCCTATTCATTAGCTTTTTGAAGCCTTCTTGTGCTGATAAAAGAATAACATTTTGCCTTTGCAACAGCATCTTGTGAGAATCCACAGAAAAGCTGTAGCTGTGGATTTTTAGGAGAGAAAAAGGGAATTTTGGACAGTTTTGAGGCCTGGGGTGATTATTGGGGGGGGGGGTTTGACTTCGGGCCTAGGTGGGGTCACCTGTCCTCACCTCCTTCACAACTACCAAAAACAGCAACGTTATAAAATCCAACCAGTTTTAAAATTTAACAACAGGAGGAATTCAATGCTACATTATGGCAATTGTGATGTCAGTGCAAGCATTTTAGCTTGTCAGACTGAACGATTCCCACTCTCCTCCTTCATGCTGCTATGGGGGTTCTCCTGGGGGGGGGGGCACAAGGGGAGGGGGGCGGAAGCCCTGTTGTTCTAACAGAAGTACTTGCAAGGGCTTCCACTAGTTAGTAGGACTCATTGATTGACTCCTGCCCCAAACAGCAGCCCATAACCCGACTCTTGCAAAAAAAGAAGTCAAAGCACTTTGCAAGATGTGAATAGCAATGGGAGGAAAAACACCGATTTTTTGTTGTTCAGGTGGCTGACTCGTCTGGCGCAGAAATTTTAGCCCACGCCATTCCCAACTCCCAGGTGCATATGCTGGAGAGATGTGGACACATCATAGCATTTGAGAGGCCCAGGAAATCTGCAAAGCTCCTCTTGGAATTCTACAATTCAGTTTGCGACAAAGCGGAGAATAAGAAGTTGGCATAAACCTCACTCAGGAGTTAAGACGCTGATGCGTTCCAAGCGACTTTCTACTCTGGAAAGGAAAATATGGATCTGATATCCAGGATGTCTGTGATGGTTTCCTTCACTGGTCATTAAAAAAGAGGCTGTTCGGTGTACAGTGGTACCTCGGGTTAAGAACTTAATTCGTTCCAGAGGTCTGTTCTTAACCTGAAAATGTTCTTAACCTGAAGCACCACTTTAGATAATGGGGCCTCCCGCTGCCGCCGCGCCGCCGGAGCACAATTTCTGTTCTCATCCTGAAGCAAAGTTCTTAACCCGAGGTACTATTTCTGGCTTAGCGGAGTCTGTAACCTGAAGCGTCTGTAACCTGAAGCATATGTAACCCGAGGTGCCACTGTAATTTGTTTATTTACTTACCTTACTGTCAAGCTGTCTCCTTTACTTCTACAAATTTTCATACTGGTGAAATGACCTATGGGCACAGAATGCAAAAAATATTAAAATTGTGGCCTTTTATGTAGTAGATGACTACTTTAATCATTGGAACAGAAGTGGGGAACCTGAAGACCAGGACACTCTATCTGGCGCAGCCCCAGACCAGAGCCCTCACTTGTCCTCCCTCCATCATGCCTTCTGTAGTGGTCAGGTGGGATTACTATGAGGAATTATGAAATATGGAGCAAGCCATTGTGTCAGCAATGAAAGCATTGCGTTGACTGGGTTTGATTCATTGACAATAATTTCTGATCAAATCCCACAAGCCTCTGCATCTCTGCCATTTGCTTTCTCTACACCTGACAGGCACGTATAAGCATTCTGAAACACAGGCCAGTTGCTTCATCAGGCATCCTCAGTACATAAAGAAAGTAGGTTACTTTGATGTAGTTTAATCTTTAGATAGATCTTAAGGGCCAGGAAGAGAGTTCACAAGGAGATGGTGAATACTGCCATCCTGCCTCTCCTGTTTATGACCTCTGGGGTTTTGCTGAATGCATTCCTCCTTTTTAGTCCTGTTTTATTTACCCCAGGACATATGCATGCTCAAGTAGGAAATAGTTTATTTGTAGTTAAAAGAATTTCTTCTGATCTGACTTTGTGGCGGTTTTGAAATGCTCAGAGGAAATCTGATTGGTTCTTACGAACACTATGTAAAAAGTTCTTTTGTGAATAAAACGACCTGGGCCAAGGGGTGGACAGAATTATTATTATTATTGGCACCTCCTCCCAGAGTCTTGCTGGTCAAGCCTCGTGTGTATTTTATTAATCAGAGTCCAATCCTTCCTTGCTTTGGGAATGCTACACCTTCCTAAAGTTCTTGTTCAACATAGAATTGTAGAGTTCGAAGAGACCCTGAACATCATCTAGTCCAAACCCCTGCAATGCAGGAACATGCAGCTGTCCCATACAGGAATTGAACCTGCAACCTTGGCGTTATTAGGATGTCAATCGGGCCTCGGGGCTGTCGTCCTCCATTCAGCAACCCAGCATTGGCTTCCTTCCATTTCCACAATAAATGTGACAGAGTGTACTTTTATTCCACCTACAACACAAGAATATCTGTGGAGAGGATACTTGTAATTGATAATACATAAGTAAATGTATTGCTTGTGTACTATGTACTCCGTATGAAACTTAGTAAGAATGTTGTGCTCGTATTGAAATGAAAAACAATTACAAATTATTGGGGTTAAATGTGGAGCTGCCCTGAAAAAGGTGCTTGCAGACACAACAACTTGTATTGTGGCCTCAAAGCAACCCTGTGAGCTCTCCAAGGTGCTCTGGATTCCTACCTTGAATTCGACTTAGACCATGGGTAGGCAAAGTAAGGTCCGGGGGCTGGATCCGGCCCAATCGCCTTCTCAATCCGGACCACGGACGGTCTGGGAATCAGCATGTTTTTACATGAGTAGAATGTGTCCTTTTATTTAAAACACATCTCTGGGTTATTTGTGGGAAATAGGAATTCGTTCATTATTTTCCCCCCAAAATATAGTCCAGTCCCCCACAAGGTCTGAGGGACAGTGGACCGGCCCCCTGCTGAAAAAGTTTGCTGACCCCTGCCTTAGACTATTGATACGGCCAGGCTTCCCCTGCAGGCCTTGAGCATTCAAAGGACTGGACACTGACTTGGATCTCCAGCTGTTTTTGGACTACGGTTCAAATAGTGTGCATGCATAGCATCCTGTGATTGATTCGGGACAGGGCTTATCTGCCCTCCTCCTGGCAATATTTTATTCAAGTTGACACCCCGGCCTCCATGTATTGTAAGCCTTGTGAAAGTAAATCAAGACAATTGCTAAAGAAATAGGTCATCAGGAGGAGACCTGGCCCACAACTACCTTGACCTTCTCAGTGGAAGGAAGATCAGTACAGTGGTACCTCGGGTTAAGTACTTAATTCGTTCCAGAGGTCCGTTCTTAACCTGAAACTGTTCTTAACCTGAAGCACCACTTTAGCTAATGGGGCCTCCTGCTGCTGCCGCAGCGCCAGAGCACGATTTCTGTTCTCATCCTTAAGCAAAGTTCTTAACCCGAGGTACTATTTCTGGGTTTGCGGAGTCTGTAACCTGAAGCGTATGTAACCCGAGGTACCACTGTATCTGTTTACAGCCAGAGGAAACAGAACAGGATGTAGTGTAGGTCAGGACAGGGGCCACGTCTACCTACGCCAACGGTTTATGAAGTGATTCCATTGAGAGCAGCCTTTTCATGGTCACCCTAAGATTTCATGGGTGTAGTAGCATTCATGGGCACCATGGTTTCACTTGGTAGTGTCGACCTTTAATGCCCCACACAGCTTTGGCCCTGTATAACTGAAGGAGCGTCTCCACAACTTCCATCGTTCAGCCCAGACACTGAGGTCCAGCTTTGAAGGTCCTTTTGGTGGTTCCCTCATGGTGAGGAGCCTGCTCACCTTTATGGTGTGGCGGCATTGCGAGCTGGTGAAGGCTTCCAAAGGACCCGACAAGGGAGTCTCACGTGTTGGGATCCGACCTGAGCAGGCTGGTGGGCGACATAACACCCTCTACGCCTATCCAAGCCTGCCTGCCATATTGGCCAATGGCAGGCAAGCTTGGATGTGGGGCTGAAGTTGGGGGCAAAGCTGAGGGACATTTAAGCAGAACATTTAAGCAGCACCTGAGGTTACAGGGTACTAGGCAGAGGGTAGTGGCGCTCGCCCTGTGGAACAACCTCCTGTCAGATGTCAAAGAAATAAACAATTATATGACCTTTCCTAGACATCTAGAGGCAGTCCTGTATCTGGACATTTTTCATGTTTGATGTTCTGTTGTGTCTTTGTATATTCTGTTGGAAGCTGCCCAATCCAATGGGTAGTGTACCCAAATAAATATTATTAATATTATTCTTATTAGCAGTGGGAGGGAAATTAGGTAGGCCGGGGATCCAGATGTGGGAGGATAGAATATTCATACCTCTGTATACCTGAAGAACTCGTTTCCAAGCTGTATACCTGAAGAACTCGTTTCCAAGCTCCTCCACTCAGTGTCAAGCTGCTGATAGCAACAACTTTCACCTCAGCAGAGAAGTAAAATCGTGGAGAGCGTGTGTTGCACCTAACAAGTGCCAGGTAAGACTCAATCAGCTACTGGGGTTTTCAGAGGAGATGGCTTATCTAGATCTATGTCCGTCTGGTTTCAGGCTTGGTTATGGGACCGAGACAGCTTTGGTGGATGATGTACAGCCGGAATTGGCCAGGGGAGATGTGTCCTAGCTGGTTCTGCTGGACCTCTCGGCATCTTTCAGTGCCGTCGACCAAGGTGTCATGCCGGAGTCCACCAGAACCACCTTCTGGGTTTGCTCCTCCAGGAAGGAACAGAGCCACTGTAAAACAGTGCCTCCGAGTCTCATCCTAGCAAAGTAGCCTTCTTGGTGGCTGCTCCCAGACTGGGGAAGTCTTTCCCTAGAAAAGTTAAACTGGTTCCTTCTTTGTTGTCTTTCCACCAGCAAGTGAAGTCTTTCTTGTCCCAACAGGCTTTTGGGAACAGACTAATTCCAATGAAAGGGCTGGTGCCATGCTGTTTTTACTGTAATTATCAGTCTGTTTTAAATTGTGTGTGTGTGTCTACACACACATTATTATTATTATTATTATTATTATTATTATTATTATTATTATTAATAACCCACCCATTTGGCTGGGTTTCCCCAGCCCCTCTGGGCGGCTTCCAACAGAATATTAAAATACAATAGTCCGTCAAACATTAAAAGCTTCCCTAAACAAGACTGCCTTCAGATGTCTTCTAAAAGTCTGGTAGTTGTTTTTCTTTTTGACATCTGGTGGGAGGGTGTTCCACAGGGCGGGGGCCACTACCGATAAGGCCCTCTGCCTGGTTCCCTGTAACTTGGCTTCTCGCAGCGAGGGAACTGCCAGAAGGCCCTCGGCGCTGGACCTCAGTGTCTGGGCAGAACGATGGGGGTGGAGGCACTCCTTCAGGTATACTGGGCCGAGGCTGTTTACCTTTCCCCCCCTCTTTTTTAAATTAACATATAAAACACATATATTTTCATTTACACAATACACATACACAACACACTACCTTATTTTCATAACATAAAACATATCTACATTACTCTATATAATACCTACCTATACTATGCATATCAACATACCTACACACCTACCCCACACAGACACCCACCAAGTGACTTGACTTCCAGCCGTTCTTGTTACGCTACTTTATTTTTCCAACTAGCTTAAACGCATTTCATTATTTCTTTAATCTCTTCTTCTGTCTTGACTTTACTCTCCTTTCACTCTAATCATTTTATGGATTCACTCAATATCTGTCAGAAATTCTACTTTTTCCACATAAGAAGAAGAAGAAGAAGAAGAAGAAGAAGAAGAAGAGTTTGGATTTGATATCCCGCTTTATCACCACCCAAAGGAGTCTCAAAGCGGCTAACATTCTCCTTTCCCTTCCTCCCCCACAACAAACACTCTGTGAGGTGAGTGGGGCTGAGAGACTTCAGAGAAGTGTGACTGGCCCAAGGTCACCCAGCAGCTGCAGGTGGAGGAGCGGAGACGTGAACCCGGTTCCCCAGATTATGAGTCTACCACTCTTAACCACTACGCCACACTTATTCCTTAAAGATAGCCCACTCCTTATTCGCTTTTTGTACCATATCTCCTCTTATCCTCCCCGTTAGTTCAGCAATATGCAAGTATTCCATCATTTTAGATAGCCAATCTGTTTTAGTTGGGACGTTGCTGCTTTTCCAATTTTGGGCAATCAATAACCTTGCCGCCATAGTCGCATACATAAATTTTGGTCTGACCGTTCTTTTTATTTCCTCTGACATGATACATAGGAGAAAGGATTCCAGGGTTTTTTCAAACGAAAATCTAAACATCTTTTTCAATTCGTTATAGATATTTTCCCAGAATCCCACTATCTCTTTTTACTCCCACCACATGTGTAGAAAGGTTCCTGCCCGTTGTTGCATCTCCAACAGACATCACTACAGTTTTTATACATTTTTGCCGGTCTGACCAGGATCAGGTACCATCTGTATTGCATTTTCATTACATTCTCTCTTAAATGATAAAAATAAAGGTAAAGGGACCCCTGACCATTAGGTCCATTTAACCCTTTCAGCACCAACACTTTGAATTGTGCTCAGAAACGTACTGGGAGCCAATGTAGGTCTTTCAGGACTGGTGTTATATGGTCTCGGTGGCCACTCCCAGTCACCAGTCTAGCTGCTGCAGACCAGGGCTTCAGGATCCTGCCCCACTAAAAGAGGCCACAATGCCACCCTTCAAATTAAGGGTCAATAGCCTAGGTAAAGAGAAAAGACAGTGCAGAAGTGATTTCCAGTATATGGTGAGAGAAATGCTCAGAACCAGCCCTTACACGAGAACCTGTGCGGTTCTCTTCCTTGCCGTCTGCAAACATGTGAAAACGCAGCCCTCTCACATGAGCAGTTTTCAAGACAAAGGCTCCCCAGGTGTTTTCCTGTTTTAAATTCTCACTTATCAAGGCAAATTGCTTCGATTGTTTAGTTTCTTTCCTGGTTCCATCTCTCCACAGCTCTTTCCCAAGGATCTCCCTGCATCTGCCTTGGCATGCCTGGCCATGGCGAAAGCACTCACTTGCAGGGAGAGGAGAGCTACACAGCAGCTGCTCAGGTGGAAAGGGTACACCAGGTAAGTCCTTGCCCTTAGCTGTCCACAGGTGCACAGCCCCTTGAAGGCTGGCAAGTGAGAGGTTCTGGTTAAAATGCCTGCCTTCTTTTTATTTGCTGGAGGGGAAACCTGTTTCTGCATCACTGTAGTGTCAAAATTAAGATTACTGCTGCCGAATTAACTTTCATCTGTTGGTGAAACCACTTACATGCACTATTCATTGCAGCTTTGCCACTTTAACTCACCAGTTGGTTGACCCCCCCCCCCCCGAGAGAAACCAGTAGGGCGCGATCTGGCTCTGGGCCCTGGTGGTCTACCTGAACCAGGGGTCAGCAAAGTTTTTGAGGCTTGGGCCGGTTCACAGTCTTGCAGACGCCGTGGTGGGCTGGAGGGTGTGAGTGTGTGCGCACACACAAGCACGTGCAACCACTATTTCCGGTGCTCCTTTTGGTGTGGAGGAGGCGTGCGCAGCTTCCCATAGGCTGCAGGAGCTTCCTGCAGCCAATGGGAAGCCGGTCAGCGTTGCGGAAGGCGGTCCCTGCTTTGCTCTGCGCCTGGGATATCTGGGGAGCAAGCAGAATTGTGCAGCAGGCCTTTGAGTGCCACCACTTCCGTTCTCCCTTTGGCATCCTGGGAAAAGCAGTACAGTGGTACCTCGGGTTACATACGCTTCAGGTTACAGACTCCGCTAACCCAGAAATAATACCTCGGGTTAAGAACTTTACCTCAGGATGAGAACAGAAATCGTGTGGCGGCAGCAGGAGGCCCCATCAGCTAAAGTGGTGCTTCAGGTTAAGAACAGTTTCAGGTTAAGAACAGACCTCCGGAACGAATTAAGTACTTAACCTGAGGTACCACTGTAGAGGCAACAGTAGGATCTCCCACGCTTTCCCAACCCATCTTATGTCACCTAGAATCTGTGACAAGAGCCCCAAGTCTTCTTGGGAAATGACCTACAAAGAGTACTGGAGAGCTGGAAGACAGCACAACATCTCCACCCGTGTGTCTTCTTTCAGTTTGTTGAGTGCACTGGTCTGAACCAAAAGCCTTTCCACCTGGTTGGCATGTCCATGGGTGGAATGATTGCTGGCACATGGCTGGAATGATTGCTGCTTGGTATCCATCTGAGGTCTGCTGCTTATCCCTCATGTGCCCAGCAGGTGAGTGTGCGCTGCTTATCCCTCCTTTGCCCATCAAGTCTAACACTGCAAAGAAATCCCACTGAATTCAAGGTGATTTATATCTGATTAGGTAAGCCTATGGTTGTGCCATAAGGTTGCAATCCTATACAGTGTTACCCCGGATTACATTCACTTCAGGTTACATACGCTTCAGGTTACAGACTCCGCTAACCCAGAAATAGTACCTCAGGTTAAGAACTTTGCTTCAGGATGAGAACAGAAATTGTGCTCCGGCAGCGCAGCAACAGCAGAAGGCTCCATCAGCTAAAGTGGTGCTTCAGGTTAAGAACAGTTTCAGGTTAAGAACGGACCTCCGGAATGAATTAAGTACTTAACCTGAGGTACCACTGTACACACTTTCCTGAGAATAAGTCCTATGGAGTTCAGAGGAGCCACTTCTGAGTAAACGTGCATAGGATTGCATTTGGGGTATTGTTTAGCTTCTTCCTTTTTTGTTATTTTTGCCCTCATTGTCTCAATTGTTTTTATGAGTTTCAGTTAACAAGGCTCAAGGATGTGGGCTTAGTGCTTGGATCAGTCAGGGTGACCCCTTGAGCTCTGGACCCTTGCCCATCATGGCTGATAAAAAATAGCAGGGAGAGGACAGCTGGCTGGGGCAGGGAAGTATACCTGAAGGAGCACCTCCACCCCCATCATTCAGCCCGGACACTGAGGTCCAGCGCTGAGGGTCTTCTAGTAGTTCCCTCACTGCGAGAAGTGAGGTTACAGGGAACCAGGCAGAGGGCCTTCTTGGTGGTGGCACCCGCCCTACAGAACGCCCTCCCATCCGATGTCAAGGAAATAAACAACTACCTGACTTTTAGAAGACATCTGAAGGCAGCCCCGTATGGGGAAGTTTTTAATGTTTGACATTTTATTATGTTTTTATATGTGTTGGAAGCCATGCAGAGTGGCTGGAGAAAACTAGCCAGATGGGTAGGGTATGTATGTATGTATGTATGTATGTATGTATGTATGTATAAATGCCTCCTTGCGAGGAGGGTGGTCCTTGCCTGCTTGAAGGAGGTTGTAGGAAAACCACTCCTCAAGAAACCCTCCCCGAATTTGGAAAATTTGGAAAAGACAGTTGCTAATCTCCCTTTCTTCGGCAAAGTTCTTGAGCGGGTGGTCGTGGACCAGATCCAGGATCTCAATCTCGCATTCTGGATTTGTTCACCAGCAAATTCAGCCATGTGCTTTATCTCCCGAACCTTAGGTCTGCGGTATCGCACAGATAATGAGGTTGCCAAGCAATTGTGGGAACTGAGTAAGACTAAGGGCTTGGGCAAGATACCTTGCCTTCCTTTGACTGTAAAGGAGGTAGAAGAAACCGCGGCACTCTCCCTATACCATGTTCCCAAAAATGTAAACAAACAGGTAAAGAAGCAGCCGTCTGCAGTTGGTAGTTCTCTGAGCTAAATACGGTATCTCTGCAGCCCTTTCTCCCTTCCCTGAACTGTTTTGTTGTCATAGTCAGAAAAGCCACATGCTGAAATCCAAAAGGGAGAGTAAATAGGAAGGGTGACCAGGGGGCGCGTGCTGAGACTGTTGGCATTTGAGTTGAATGCCCAGCAGAAGCCAAACTGTATACAGAGTCCCTGCTGGGGGAGCATGCTTCACCCTGGATACCATCACACTTAGACTCCAGGTTTTGGAAAATAGGAAAGTTACTGTTGAAAATAAGAAAGCTACGTGTATTACTGTTGGAAATACACATTTGCTAGAATAAGTATCTTAGATGGAGATACAATAAGCTATGCTTGGATCTCCCAAGTATGTCTGCTATCATTAAGGAGGCCTGGAGAAGGAGGAAAGGAAGGAGGAATTGAGGTCAGCAACCCTAAGATTATCAGTCTAATCTGAAGATCAGCACGTCAGGTGAAGGAAGACAAGTCTAGGAAGCTTGGAGGTTTTTCTGGCCGGGGCTGATAGATGTTGAATTCTCAACCCCTGATTTACACACTGCAAGTTCATACTAAGTGAACTATCGTTTAACTGCCTGTCATGTGTGTTAGGTGAACATATCAGACGACACAGCGATTCTTCCAAAGCAGCTCTTTATTTGTAAGCTGGAACAGGACTGAACTGAGGAGCTCAGTCAGCCTGCTTATATAGAGCTCCACTAGAATGCAACAGTAACCATTTTCTGTAACTAGCCAATCACTGAACGTCACTTTCGATCCTTCATTTGCATAACTATCTACAGTATCCCCCTGCTGGCCCAGGGTAAGAACTTCAGTACATAACAATGTGCTTCCTGTGACTCTGACATCTCTTTGTTTTCCCTCCATAGTTCACACAGGGATTTCTGGACTATCAGATTCCACATTACGCAATATTAAAAAAATGTAAGTGCAACAGTGACCAAAAAAATGCTTCTAGTGAGATAACTCCAAATATGCAGTTGCAGCCAGTCACAGCTCTTTGACTTCCATACCTGACTGACATACATGTTGATGTTTCTCATATTCACCTCTTAAAAGTAATTTCACAAAACTAAACAGCGAAGCTTCCTCAGAGACTTCTTCCCACTATTAGAGAAATACTATGTTGTCTTCAGCTCTGTTGTCGTGAATGAATCACACCAGTAATGATGCCAAAATGGATAGTTTATTGGTTCAGAATAACCATCTCCACAACTCATAACACTTGTCCATAAAGCCAGTGTGGTGTAGTGGTTAAGAGCGGTGGACCCATAATCTGGTGAACCGGGTTTGATTCCCCGCTCTTCCACATGCAGCTGCTGGGTGACCTTGGGCCAGTCACACTTCTTTGAAGTCTCTCAGCCCCACTCACCTCACAGAGTGTTTGTTGTGGGGAAGGAAGGGAAAAGGAGATTGTTAGCCACTTGGAGACTCCTTAGGGTAGTGTTAAAGCGGGATATCAAATCCAAACTCTCTCTCTCTAACTTGTTTACAAACAGAGGGCCTTCTTGGTAGTGGCGCCCACCCTGTGGAACGCCCTCCCTTCAGATGCGAAGGAAATAAGCAGCTTTCCTATCTTTAAAAGACATCTGAAGGCGGATTTGTTTAGGGAAGTTAGGAATATTTAATATTTAACACTCGATTGGGAGCCGCCCAGAGTGGCTGGGGAAACTCAGCCAGATAGGCGGGGTATAAATAAATTATTATTATTATCACTATTACTATTATTATTATCGTTATTTTTAAGTCCTTCTCAGGATGGATTTTAATCAAATTTGAGGAAAAGCTACCCATATTCCCACCCACCATCCTACTTACCTGCTTAGGGTGGTAGGGGCATGGCAGGAATGGAGGTCTCTCTCACACAAACCCTCACCTTTCTCTCTCCTCCCCTTTAAGTTCCACCACAGCAGGAGCAAATCCAGCTTTGGTAGGGTCCTTGGGATCTGATTGGGATGCTGCCCAGGGGCTGGATCTATACTAATTTAAAAAAAACACTAAGAATTTTTTTTATATATAGCTCTCAATGCAAGCTTCCATTGCAGGCTTCCTCAACCTCGGCCCTACAAATGTTTTTGGCCTACAACTCCCATGATCCCTAGCTAGCAGGACCAGTGGTCTGGGATGATAGGAATTGTAGTCTCAAAACATCTGGAGGGCCGAGGTTGAGGAAGCCTGGTCCATTGACTGCTGTGCAGCGCCCCCTGGTGTCACATTTTTGTAATGCATTTATAACATTATACGGTAACTCACAAATATAAAGGTAAAGGTACCCCTGCCCGTACGGGCCAGTCTTGCCAGACTCTAGGGTTGTGCGCCCATCTCACTCTATAGGCCGGGGGCCAGCGCTGTCCGCAGACACTTCCGGGTCACGTGGCCAGCATGACAAGCTGCATCTGGCGAGCCAGCGCAGCACACGGAACGCCGTTTACCTTCCCGCTAGTAAGCGGTCCCTATTTATCTACTTGCACCCGGGGGTGCTTTCGAACTGCTAGGTTGGCAGGCGCTGGGACCGAGCAACGGGAGCGCACCCCGCCGACCTTTCGATCGGCAAGTCCTAGGCACTGAGGCTTTAACTCACAGCGCCACCCGCGTCCCCAACTCACAAATATAGATTAGTCCAAAGTCCCTCTTACGGGCCTGTCTCTGGAGGTAAGCCACTTAGCTGCTCCACTGAGTCTCCTCAAAATGCCCGCTGCCTCCACCTGACTAATAAAGAGGAATGGGACTCTCCTTTTACAATACTACTCAGGTACATCCACCCTGATACATGGGGTGAGAGACATTTACCTGAGAACACACCCAGACCACAGCAAAAACAACTATGTTTAATAATAATAATAATAAAATTTTATTTATATCCTGCCCTCCTCAGCCGAAGCCGGGCTCAGAGCGGCTAACAACAGTAAAAATAACACAGTTTACATAAAATCACAATCAATTAATTGAAATACATTCTAAAATCAATTCAGAGTCAAATCAATTCAGAGTCAAATTAATGGCAACCATTGGGCTAGAGTTCTATGAGGATTGCAGAAGGAGAGAGGGGGTCAGACTGTGCCTTGGCCAAAGGCCTGGTGGAACAGCTCTGTCTTGCAGGCCCTGCGGAAGGATGTCAAGTCTATAAGGGCTATAACCTCTGGATCCAACAGCCACTATATACAGAGTCCTTCTAGTTTCCAGACAGCAGTCCCATTTCTTTTAGATATATACTGTGCTTTCATGTCTTACTCAAACTCCTCCCTGCCCCACAAGCCTCTCTATCCCTCACAGTCTGTCATTTTCCAATGGACTCTCTCTCTCTGCCTGTCACTCAAACTCCTCCCAACATTCCATTCCGCTGGCCCCTGCTGTCCATCATTCTTCTAGCAGCTGTCCTGCCACAGGTGGTTTTCCAGAGTTCTGGCATCAAGGACCCTGGAAATTGCTGGCTTCCCAATGTTCCCTGGCACCTTGGCAGAGCCAGGTTTCTTCCGGGTGCTGGCAAAATCGAGAGGAAGTGGTTACAGTGAGCCGCCCTGCGGCTTACCATGGCATGCAAACTAGGCCAATGGATGCAGTTATCTCTGCAGTATTTGTGGCACACCCTTTCTGAACAGCTTACGATGTTTTAATAGACATTTTATTCATTTTATTTTGAAGTGTCAGTCATAATGAGAATGAGAATAAGGCATAGCTGTCAAGCATCCCTTATTTGGCGGGACTGTCCCTTATCCCAGCGCCATGTCCCGCTGCTGTCCCTTATTGATGATGTCCCTTAAATAAGTTACTGAAGGTAATGGGGACCTTTCTATGTCCAGCTGTCCTTTGTCAACAACAAATTGTTGCTGTTTTTTTGTGTTGAATATATGCTATATGGTAATTTATGGACCTAATAGGCATCTAAAACCATTTGCACGCAACAAAATATGTATTTTATCAAAGTAATTGTTGATCCCTTATTTTGGCTGCTGAGCCCTTATTTTCGAGGTTGCTGGTCCCTTATTTTCAAATCTGTAAGTTGACAGCTATGGAATAAGGACGACGGTTCACCAGGTTGCGAAACAGGCACACACCTTAGGAAGCAAAGGGTTGTATTCGGCTAAGATATATTCAGAGCAGACCCACTGAAATCAATGAACCCGAGTTAGTCCATTTCAATGGGTCTGCTCTGAGTAGGACAAATGTAAGAGGCAACCCAAAAATGTGCAGAGCAAAATGTGATGACAGAAAGAAGTCTAATTTTGCTTTTTTTACTGGGAAAGGTTTGCTGGGCTGTATCTCTGAGGAATCCAGGTACACCCTTCATGACAACATGAGCAAGATCAAGGCTCCCACACAGATTATTTGGGGAATGCACGACAAGGTTAGTGTGTGTGTGTGTGTGTGTGTGTGTGCGCGCGCTGCTTTCTTTTGCTGTGCTAATGGCTGGGTGCAGCTTAAGCCAACAATCACTTTTAGTCCTAGCTGATATTTTGAATTACTCCATTGTTACTTTGAACTGTTCTGCGAACTGGTATGCTCCTCATTCAGAAAAGCAGCTAGTACATTCCATAAGCAGCTGAAAGGCAAAGTCCCCAGTCCTGGGGGAGAGAGAGGCTCTACAGGGTGGTACCCAGGTATGGTGCAGGTGCTCATTGGCACTGCTATTGACACACATTCCGTGAATGCATGGAGACCCAGCTAGCACCTCCAGAAGGAGCCAGGGCTGGAAAACAAAATTTGAGATATTGTACAAAGAAACACCCACCCACCTTGCTGCTAAAGCCATGTAACAAAAATGAGAGAACCACTCATCAATGGAAGTTTGTTGGTTCCAGAGGGTGTTTCTGTTGGGAGCTAGGGCAGAGAGAAATGCTTAAGAAAATGTCTGGCTGGTGGTGGTTTCAGCCTTCCAAGCAGAGATGCAGAGGTCACATTAGAAGTTCTTGTATGGGAGGTGTGGGTGGCGCTGTGGTCTAAACCACTAAGCCTCTTGGGCTTGCCGATCAGAAGGTCGGCGGTTCAAATCCCTGCAATTGTCGGAATCTCCGCTACGACTGAGCTACTCCTCCGGTTGAGCCTTCGGAATCTCCTCCGATGATGATTAACGACCCGAGCCTTTGATAAGGCTCCAGGCACGTTCCCCATTCAGTAGAGTATCAAAGCAGCAGAAGGGACAAGAAATATGAGCTACATTGCGAGGCTTTATTTCTCGCTGTGCAGACAGAAAAGAAATATACATGCTCTCTCTGTGAAAGCAGAGAGCAACTGGAAAACAAAGGAACAGGAAACCAGTAACATCACATCCGTCTCCCGTGAGACTTCCAACAGTCTGGAATGGCCGGAATGCAAAACAGAGTCTTGTGACTCCAAGCACTGCACAGTGGCAACAAACAGAAACCAACAGCAGTGGGGTGAGCTCCCATTGCTCTGTCCCAGCTTCTGCCAACCTAGCAGTTTGAAAGCACACCAGTGCGAGTAGATAAATAGGCACTGCTGCGGCGGGAAGGTAAATGGCATTTCCATGCATTCTGGTTTCCGTCATATGTGTTCTGTTGCGCCAGAAGCAGTTCAGTAATGCTGGCCACATGACCCAGAAAGCTGTCTGTGGACAAACGTCGGCTCCCTTGGTCTGAAAGCAAGATGAGTGCTGCAACCCCATAGTCGCCTTTGACTGGACTTAACCATCCAGGGGTCCTTTACCTTTTACCTTGATGTTCTTGTGTGCTTAATCAGGGTACTTTTCTATGTCAGAGGACATGCACAAGGAAGAGAGGCAGGAACTCATCAAGTCTGACACTGGCACACAGTTCTTCTATAGATTACAGCCCCATCCAGTTGTGCACCTTGTTATTACAGCAACCTTTCATTAAATGCAGATACAATTGCATAAGTTTGTAATCATGTGGCAGTGAGTCAGCCCAATCAGCATTTTGCTTATATCTTAACCCCTTGTATAAGTTCCCCTGGTGCTCTCCGGATGGTTTGGGCTACAGCTCCCACCCACCCCAGCCAGAATGCACCATTGTAGTCCAAACCATCAGGCTGGAGTTGGAGAAGCCTGCTTTATATCTTCCTATATACATAAGCATGCAAGGCTGTCATCACACAGTCCTCATTGGAGGATTAGTGGTGCTGCAGCACAATGCTGGGTTTGGGGTAGGGAAGCCAAAGAGAATGTAGGCTGAACAACACCAGAGGCTATGGCAGGGGAGTGAGATGGGGAAGGGGTGATTTAAAGCAAGAGCGGAAGTTTGAAAGCAGTTTGAAAGCACACCAGTGTGAGTAGATAAATAGATACTGCTGCGGCGGGAAGCTAGATGGCATTTCCATGCGCTCTGGTTTCCATCATGGTGTTCTGTTGCGCCAGAAGCAGTTCAGTAATGCTGGCCACATGACCCGGAAAGCTGTCTGTGGACAAACGGCGGCTCCCTTGGCCTGAAAGCGAGATGAGCGCCGCAACCCCAATGTGGTGGGAATGGCAAGGGATTAGCGAGCAGAGTGAGTAGGGACACAGCCTGTAGTTTTAAAATAAAGATAGAGGCGGTCATCTTTATCCCCGCAAGAATGCCTGGGAGCAATGCTATGTCACTCTGTCCCAGGAATGTGGCTGGGCTGCTGAGAACAATGTGGGCACCAGACATAAATTTCTTTTCATTTCTTTCAGATCACTGATCCTTCTGGAGGAGAAATTTTAGCTGCCACCATCCCCAACTCCCAACTGCATATGCTGGAGAAATGTGGACACTTCATGATGATGGACAGGCCCAAGAAATCCGCCAAGCTCCTTGTGGAATTCCACAATTCAGTCTGTGGCAAGGTGGAGGCTAAGAAGTCAATATAAGCCTCACTAAGGAGTCAAGCCGTATAGTTAAATCCATGGTTTTCCCAGTAGTGATGTATGGAAGTGAGAGCTGGACCATAAAGAAGGCTGATCGCCGAAGAATTGATGCTTTTGAATTATGGTGCTGGAGGGGACTCTTGAGAGTCCCATGGACTGCAAAAAGATCAAACGCATCCATTCTTAAGGAAATCAGCCCTGAGTGCTCACTGGAAGGACAGATCGTGAAGATGAGGCTCCAGTACTTTGGCCACCTCATGAGAAGAGAAGACTCCCTGGAGAAGACACTGATGCGGGGAAAGATGGAGGGCACAAGGAGAAGGGGACGACAGAGGACGAGATGGTTGGACAGTGTTTTCGAGGTTATCAGTATGAGTTTGACCAAACTGCGGGAGGCAGTGGAAGACAGGAGTGCCTGGCGTGCTCTGGTCCATGGGGTCACGAAGAGTCGGACACGACTAAACGACTAAACAACAACAAGGAGTCAAGCAGATGGAGCATTCGAAGCAACTTTCTTGCTCTTGAAAGAAAAGGGGCCTCAAATGGACACTGTGGATGACTGCCCTGGTTCCCCCCCCCCTCGCTTATTTGCTTTGCCATATAATATTTGGAAGCTGGGATGATTGGCCTGGCCTCCCACAGCTTCTGACAGAGCTTGGAATTTGTATGTTCAGACTGACTTCTTCCTTTGTGCAATTGTAACCTGCAGTAAGGCCAGGGGTAAGAGGGGTGATGTAGAAAAAAAATAGGGTTTGTCTTTTGCTGCCCAGCTCCCTAAGGGACTGAGTCCCCTAAGTCCATGATCGGTCAGAGATGAATGGATGAAGGTAAGGTTCCAAAGAAAGGAAGGGAGATCTAAACAGCTCTGCTTAGGCAAGCTTTTAATATTTGATGAATTATTGTATTTTAATATTTTGCTGGAAGCCGCCCAGAATGGCTGGGGAAACCCAGCCAGATGGGTGGGGTATAAATAATAAATTATTATTATTATTCTGTTGCAACAGAGTTCCCTCCCCTACTCTCAAGGAGGTAGGAGAGACCCCCAACAAAGGTGTGCAAGTCCCTATAAAGACTTTATAGGACGTCTGTATAAAGACTTTTGAAATTGCCCACCCCTTAGCCCAAGACCACTCCAAAAACATCAGACATACATCAAAGAAGGAGGCGGGTTTGCACGTTCCTATGACCCTTGGGAGCAAAGCCATCAGGAGTCTCATACTCATAGCAGAGTCACCCAAGGCGGTAAGGTCAAAGGGGAGGAGCTAGACAAAGAATGATCCAAGAAGTCCTCAACGGCAGAACAGGCGGGTGACAACAAGCATTATGTTACAACGGCTGTGAAGGCGGATGAAGGCTGCAGTATATAAGAATCTACCGGTTGTCGTGATATTCGTGCCATCGGAATAGAGCCTTACTGTGAAGACTGTGCATTGGACAGTGTGCACTGATCTACACACACACACAAAATCCATGCACAAGCGTCTTCCACAAACCCATCCCAAACACAAAAAGTCCTTTGCAATCAGCAAATGGTAACGTGAAATCTGGAAGACCCCTAGTCATGAATCAGCCCATGGGTGGTGGATACAGATCCAGTTGTTCTGACTCAAGAAATGAGGCAGATGAGTAGCTTGGCAGCTGTATCCATGACTGTGCAGGGCCGTTCACAACATAAAAATACAAGAGAAAAAACACAAAATACATAATGATAAAAAACCAATAACCTCCCCCCTCAACATGTCTGGGTTTCTCTCCTATCTCCCCTAAGGCAACTTCTTCCTAAACTCCAAATAATTTCTTTTGCATTCTGTCCCACACAAGTGGCCCTCCAGCCAGAAATTATGAGGGTTGCAGTCACCTAGAAGGCTACAGGTTAACCACTCCTGCCTCTAGGCTCTTAACATAAGGATCTGATGGACAAGCCAAGCTTGACAGGTGAGTGGGGCTCTCCTCCTGTGAATCCCATGTCACGGGGGTCTCAGAGAGCTGCTTTCACCCTGTGCTGATCGCAGGAGCTTCAAAGTGCCAACTCCAAAGTGGGAGCTCTGGTTTGTTAAGGGTGCTGCGAGGAGACTCCCTCTTCCCGCTCGCAGAACTACAATTCCCAGCATTCCCTGGGGTGAGGGGTTGATTGTTAGATGACCCTGGGAACTACAGCTCTCAGAAGGGAATAGGGCAGGCTTCCTCAACTTCAGCCCTCCAGATGTTTTGAGACTACAATTCCCATCATCCCTGACCACTGGTCCTGCTAGCTAGGGATCATGGGAGTTGTAGGCCAAAAACATCTGGAGGGCCGAGGTTGAGGAAGCCTGGAACAGGGGGTCTCCTAACAACTCACAGCACCTTTAACAAACCACAGTTCCCAGGATTCTTTGAGGAGAAGCCATGATGGCTTGTTGTATCCTAGTGCTTTAAATGTCTACAACAGCTGAGGCCTTCCCTGGATAAGCAATGTGTCCTTCCCTTCACAATACCCAGCAACCATTCACACTCCTGATCATCTCAAATCCATTCACAGGCTTATGTCAAAGCTTGTTGGCATAGCTGCCTAGGCCCTATCTGTGACGTCTCCACCAATATTGTTGCTGTTGGATGCGTGTCTGCAAACTTAGCCTTTTGAGACCTGGATTATTTCGGATTTAAGGATTATTAGAAGAAAGAAGACGACTGCCGAACAATAAAAGGGGTGGTGGAGGAAATACTGCTGCAAATTGATTACTGCTACCACTGACACAATGGTCCTTAGAGTTCTCATTACATTAATGTGATTCTTATCTCGATTTTCTGGACCTTCTGTTTGGCATTTGGGTTACAGTCATTAGTTTCTTTCACACCATATTTTTGTGCCTGTAAAACTTAAGACAAGCAAAACACGATCGTCCACAAAATAGGTTAGGTCACACCTCGAGGGCAGAAGGTTGGTGGTGAAGTCTGGGTTGGGAACTCGTTGTTTATAGAGATGTGGTGGCAGACAAATATGTTTTTGTGCTTAGCAATATCATCAAAGCATGAGAAAGAATCATAGAATCGGAAGGGGCCGTGAGGGTCATTTTGTCCAACCCCCTGCAATGCAGGAATCTTCCACCCAACGTAGCTTGAACCCATAGCCCTGAGATTAAGAATCTCATGCCGTACCAACTGATCTACCCCTCAGGGCTAAGAAAGCAACGGTGCAATATAATTAGAAACTCTTATAGCAGAGGTTTGCAAGGGCTGGGAAGGTTGGGTTTGGCTTGAACTCCACAGTTCGCACATTCAGGGTGTTGTAAACAAAATCTGCCCTTTTCCCCTTATGGGGTATCCAAGAGCCCATATAGAGTCCTTAAGTAGGTTCCCTATTGGTAGGAGAAAATAACAGAGGCCAACCAGAGAATATTGAGAAGCAAAGCGGCTAGTAAGCTTGATCTTTATTGATCTGTTGCAACAGGGTGCTCCCCTCACATGCAGGAAAGGAGGGGTAACCCAGAACAATGGCACACAAGGCCTTATAGACCTTGTGGATCAAGACCAGGGACGTGGGTGGCGCTGTGGGTTAAACCACAGAGCCTAGGACTTGCTGATCAGAAGGTCGGTGATTCGAATCCCCACGACAGGGTGAGCTCCCATTGCTTGGTCCCTGCTCCTGCCAATCTAGCAGTTCGAAAGCACATCAAAGTGCAATTAGATAAATAAGTACCGCTCCGGCGGGAAGGTAAATGGTGTTTCCGTGCGCTGCTCTGGTTCGCCAGAAGCGGCTTAGTCATGCTGGCCACATGACCCGGAAGCTGTACGCCGGCTCCCTTGGCCAATAAAGCGAGATGAGCGCCACAACCCCAGAGTCGGCCATGACTGGACCTAATGGTCAGGGGTCCCTTTACCTTCACCTAGAACAAGACCACTCCCAGAAACATCATACATACATCACAGAAGGGGTGTAACCTAAGACCACCCCCCAGATACATCATACCTACATCACAGAAAAGGCGGTCTAAAACAGAAATTTGAATGTTGTTTTTCCTGTTTGCCAAGTTATCTGATTGCCTTTCCTGATAGTCTGCCACCCATTAAAATGCTGATTACTCAATTCCTGAGACAATGGGAAGGCTCCCTGACCCACCCACCCCCATGCAGGGAAAACATTTGGTCAGTTTGGGAATCAAAATGGTTCCAGGTCGGCCTTCCTGTGCTGATCTATGTACGTGCTTGGTTGGTACACTTATGGACAGTGGCGTAGCATGGGGGGTGCCAGGGGTTCCGGCCGCACAGGGCGCAACATCTGGGGGGGGCGCGAGTCCAGAGGGCCCAGCCCCGTCGTGCCCTCGGCCCGCCCCTATTGTCAGAGCGGCCGGCCAGCCTCCGCCTGCTCCTACCTTGCCCACCCGAGGACTGCGGCAGCGCCCGCCCCCGTGGCCACCTACCCCCGCCTCGCCCATTGGCTTGCCTCCCTCGGCCCCACCTCTCTCCGATGGCCGCGGGGGTGTCCTGCTTGGCGCTGTCGCCTTTTTTCAGGAGGTAGGGAGGCTGGACGGGGAGGTGGGGTCGGAAGCGGGCAGAGAAGGAGGGGAGCTCGTAGCCAAAAGGGCTGCGCTGGCCGGCAAAGGGCCGGGGAAAGTTTGGAGAGGAGAAACGCACCGTCATGATTTCCCGGTGGAAGCGGCAGGATTAGGGATGGCGAAGCGTAATTACGCACGAATTTCGCTGGGTGAGAGCTTCCGGGGATCGATCGGCAGAAATGGGAATCAATTGGAATATGAGAAAGAGAGAGAGAGAGGGACCATCATTCATAGGCATAGATTTGTAGGGTTAGGGGGCGCAAATCCACAGGTTAGGGGGCGCAAATTACTTGCCTTGCCCTGGGTTAGGGGGCGCAAATTACTTGCCTTGCCCCGGGTGCTGACAACCCACGCTACGCCGCTGCTTATGGACATTACCATATATCTAAGACCTCAAAATTCCTGTCACAAGGGTCATGGAGTCTGTCGGTGTCTGGGTGCAGACAAAAAAATCAAGATGTCTCAAGGCTG